TTAACGTTTCTTCAACTTCCATTATCGAACACTTATTGATTGTTGAACGAACTAACACTATTCTGTTAACAATTGAAGCATGTAAAAAATCCGCTATCATTTTTGATGGAAAACTGCAGTTGTAAATGATATGAGATAAACATTTGATTCTTTTTCCAGCGTAATAACTAATATTTTGTATAAAAGAAAACAATTCAACCCTACTATTATTTAAGTACATTCATGTAATAATAAACTTAATGGTCACATAATTTTAATTTCAACCCTAATGATCTAATTATGCTACCCAACTCAAAGATATGATATTCAAAGTATGTCAAATAGTAAATAAAATTCCCTTGTCTAAACCCGTTAACAATGGCCTTACATTGTAATTTATACTAGATGTATATTAGATGTTCTTGATGTTACTAAATGATAAATAAGACAATGTAATTTATTATCAATTTATATATTAACAATAAATTTTATGTATTGCATTTGGAAGCAAATTAGAAGTGTGCAGTAATCATGGTTATGTCTTTATATCAATATTAGAATAGTGGAAGTTTTGGAAGATATACTATAGGAACGGGATCATGGATGAGCATTGCCGAGGAGTCCTACACTAGGACGAAAAAGCCGTTCAGTGCTTCCAGGCTTTCCATGATGATCTAACTTCAATTGACTTATGAACTCAACTATTAAATTACTATAATATCCACAAAACCCCTTTCTGATAACAAATGGAATTGTTAAAATTACCTTCTAAACAGTAGTTTAGTTGTCAGTACTACTCTTACTTTCATTTCATAAGACAAATATAAGACGATTATGGGAAACATTGAAAAGGTTCAAATTACGTAAAATATTTAGTCCTTTTGTTAGATTTTGGTTAATGCAGTGAGATTACAAAAGATATTAGAATTATGTTAGTTCTGATAACCTTTCTCTTCTCCCCATCAAATTTTCATTTCAATTACCGTTATTTTTCAATGTACAACATTTCAATGATTGCATATTCTATGATGTTGTCATCGGTTCAACTTTTCACTTTCCATTAACATTCTAGACAGATTTTTATGAATGACTTTAGATAAAGGTTACTTCATCAAATGTTTTTTCCGACATGATGCTCTAAGGCATTAACAACATGAAGATGCATTAGAATTACTTATGAATCAGTATCATGAAAAAAAATAATTTCTAAATAACAATGAAAAGGTGGCAAAAGAAAAAAAAGAAAAGAAAACTGTGAAACTTACTAGATAATCAAATAAAATATTCACTGATCAACTCAGTTATAAATTTTTTCTTTTATGTTACTGATCTTCTAAACAGAGCACAGTTTGAAAAGTTTACCAACTACTTATTCAATTCGATTGTGTTTAATAAGGATGACAATGGAAATATTCATTAATATTGAGAATGAGAATCAATCTTAATTCAAATAGTTATTTTATGTATAGTTCGAAGGGAATATTTGTGTTTTTTTACAACTTGTATGATTTATAAGTTCGATTCTCGATCCATATCAAATTAGTACAATGTTTGGATTAGTAATTCTGTTGCTAAGTGGTTATATATATATATATATATATATATATATACGTTACAATATTGTGAATGATAGTTAAAGCCGGAAAAAGTTTATTTAACACTTATAACTAATAATAGTCACCTATGCTTTTATGTGTTGAATGATATTATAAGCTAAATAGATTGTGTATATATGTAATATTGTGATTGTATTAATCTATTGTTCTAATAGCATATATATACCAATATGATTCCACCTACGCGTATGACAAAAAGTAACAGATACAGACTAGTAATTTCCGTTATCAATTATTTTCTATTGGTGAGAAAATCAACAATTCAAAGGGAGAGTTTGTCAAAGGGGAAGATAATAAATTTTTGTTTTTTAAAGTATGATGTTTCAAAGATAGAATTAATATAAAAAAAGGGAAAATAGAACAAATTGAGATAAGTGAAAGAAAATTTCTATTATATCAATGCAATTAATTTAGAATTCGAATATACAATCTGAAATTTATTTTGATAGTAGACTGTTAAATTGATCAAGTTACAAACAATATTTATCATAATCAACAAATGAAATTATTCAAACTGTCAAAGTATATTCTACAATTGCTTCTTCATTACAAAATTGAAAGTAGATAACAATGAATTTTTTTTTACTATTTTTCTAGATCTATCCTCGGTGCCCCCCCCCACCTCTAAGAACCAATAATGTTTCGTGGTGGATAGCTGAATGTTTAATATGTTATAGTTCATAAAATGGTAGTTAAACAACGGGGAAGAAACAGATTCATCTTTTTAAAATAGTGAAGCATGAAAATACGTTAAATCAGTCACTGATAATAACAACTTTTCCAAACGATTGGAGGACCTCGGTAAAACCCCTGCTAGTCTAGTCTTTATCTCCATAAATATATATAAAGGTGATAACAAAAAGAAACATGAAACGCGTAACTATAAGATAGGGATACTAGTGTAAATCATATAAATTAGTGTAATTAATTAGTTAGTGACTTAAGCACTGCTTAGAGAATTTATTGATTTATAAGATTTTACTTAATACTGACATGATTAATAAACCAAAGAATTCTTAGCTTGTTTAATAATCTCTATTCGGCTTATTTAATATTTTAAAATTCACAACGTATTTCAGCCACAACTGAGGCTTTGGACAGATGTTTATTTTACTCTTAAAATTATTTTAATAGTTGAATTAATGAGTTGATTTAAGCTAGACAATGGATGAATAGTTACACAAGATCATGGATCGATTGAACTTAGACATTAACACCATTGGATGCCGATCGGCTCAGTGGTCTAGAGGTTAAACGTCCACTCGAGAGACCGAATGCATTGAGTTAAAATCCCACATGCGGGACCATGGATGCGTATTGTTGAAGAGTCTCAGACTAGGACGAGACGGCCGTCCAATCCTTTCAAGTTTTGAATGGTGGTCTAGTTTCATTTGACTCATAAATTCAACTATTAAAATTACTATCATCTCCACAAATCCCCATTCTTGTAATAACACATAACTTGCTTAAATTTCTTGTTATTATATTTTTCAACTGAATAATGAATAAAATGGATTTCATTTGTAGATACAGGCTTACTTTCTCGATTGTTAGTTTATTTCAGAACTGTTTTCGAAGTACCTTTAAATACAAAACTGAAGAGAAATGACAAAGCTGACCAACCTTACTTGATTCACCATCGATTATAAAAACAATGAATGAATGTGACTACAAATACTCCACATGAGAATTTTTTCCAGGGTCTTGAATGCATGGGAATTCTTAAACAAACAATGCAAAAACCTTTTACTGCTCAATATAATTATAATGTTGGAAGAATATAATGATGGTTAGTCTATAGTATTGTAGTGACAATCTAGAGGATGAGAGCTTGACAATGTATCGCTTCTGAATGAAACATAAACCTCTACTTATGGGTTGTTTTTATACGTTCCACATAATTTGAGCAATATGACAGCGGCCAATATTTTAACGCAACTTTTAATGGACCTCACTTTAATGATTGTTAACTAGATTATTCATGTCAACTTCGAAAACAGAAAAAACTACGTCATAAAAGCAGAGTGACTAAACTCTCTTAGTCTACTATACCATTTTATAGAAACGAGTCAAATCTCTGTATAAAAATTTCACCACTCTCATTGAGGTAATCTGATGATACATAGTTTTATTTGGGTTTACAATAATATTTAAGTATCTGGATTTCTTTTCGGACATTAGCTCTTGTTAAGTGAGGTGATGTTCAGTGACTGTAGGACATAATGGACATGCAGACGTTTCCAGAGAAATAGTTCAACTAAAAGCTTTAAGATTATCCACCCAAAGATCAATTTTTTTACATTGTTGGTGGGCGTTTTTCACTTCCCTTGTAGACTCCTGCAGTAACACTAGATTTCTTGCTTCTGGTGGTTCAGACAGTGAAATCGTTCCTGGTAATTTTCAAATGTAGCTAATGTTAGAATATTTATATGATGTTATGACCACTTGTCTTTCGGGTCAATAAACAGGATTTGTGAGATTATTTGTCTAAGCGACCTACACCCATTATTCTATTCTTAGTTTTCTGGAAGAAGAAAACAGACCTTAAAAAGTTGCATCAAGCCTACCAAAACTCTTTTATTAATAGAGGAAACTTTAATAAACTGTGAGTGTTATTACGCGTTATTTTACCCGAATTATGTAAAGGTCACTAGTTTATAATTTTTATTGGAGTAACGGTGACACATAGATCTAGCGTGGTTTTTCACTTGATTTGTTTCCCCATATCAATTTGTTTAGGAGGATAACTAATAACAAAAAACAAAATAAACTGTGTTAGCGACACACAAAATAAGTATAGTTAGTCATAAAATCTGAAAATTATGTTACCTTTACAGAACCTCTATTTTCGTACGTCGCGTTATGGCTTACGTGAGGTTCCGATACCCAGAAACGGAGATTGTATAGCTTATCTAACAATCAACTCCAACTTGGTATAACTAGTGCATGCATATTTCCACTGAAATACTTTAAAAACTGGTTATGCATTTTCCCTCCTGTTGGTTTTTATTAATAAAGTTCTGTTACTTAGAGACTCTGGTTGAAAACTTCCTGGTTACTAGGCCACGTGCCAGCATTTTAAGAGAGAGATGAGGGTTCAAATCCTAAGGGGAATGTCGGTCAATTTGAGATCGCTTATACGCATTTATGGCGAGCGATAGTTAACTCAAAATCCAGGTCAAAGACTTCCGGTAGATTCCCTTCAACCAACTAGAATAAAAAGAACACTCCAAAATGTTGGTTGTTGAACTTTTGAGGCACCCGTCAAGACCTAGTGATCGGTTAAGATAGATTCACAGCTTGCACATGAAAACTCAATTCTCTTCAGAAAAACGTTTGATTAACTGACACTTTCATCAAGTGATGAAAGATCTACTTATGAAGAAAAATTCTAAACACACCTGAAGGTACTCATTTTTACGACTAGAACAAAAATCAGCTCTCTAGTCCGATGAATACTTGCGACGCCACATAGTTCCGACTTCGTTTGTGTAAAAAGCTTGCATATATGCACGGAATAATCTTACGGCTTCGTAGAGTACAGCACCCCATGTAATGTAGAATGAAATTTTTGTAAGTAGACACGCAGTGAAGGCTAGTGTCATTGTCGAATGTCAGTGTGAAAACGCCGTATGAGATATAAGGGGTCTTGACGGTTTATTCAAGCAAGTATTTTAAAAACCACAAGTTGTTGTTGACAAACGTGGCAGGAGCAGTAATCAGCACGAGACACTGACGTGGCTTTGACAGAGTACGATGTTCTTACATGAAGGCCATTTCTGGAAATCTGCGGACGTTGACAAATAGACACATACTACCTAAATCAACAAGAGATTTGCCAGCCTAAATAAAAAGTTGTATGAAACGTGAAGCAACGCGTAGAGACCAGACGAGGTAGACTACAACTAACGCAAAAGCAACGATTTCTAACACAATTTATATTCAAAAAAGATAAATGGGAAATTTAGACGGTCTCTTATGACGCATAAAAACGAGAAGTCACATTTACGACTGAAAGTGAATTGATGTCTAAAAACGCAAAAGCCAGAAGATCGTGGGTACGACTGCTGACACTAGCCAAATAACGTTGATGCGAACGATGAACAGGAAACGAGTAATAAATGCAAACGTCTCTTGCCTACGTGATTCGAGGTTGCTTCGCGTTTGACTTCACGGGACGACTCTGAAATGTTAGGTAAACTTGAGTTATGGGGAACGAAAAATTGGACGTAATGTCAACGCACAGATCTAGGCTGCGGGCAAACGAGAAGCACGTTTACTAAGCAACTTAGACGACCACGCACGCACAAACTCTCAACACTTGGAGTAATACATTCTGAGTAGCTTATCATAAACCACTTACTTTAGTTAGGGGCGACCGTAGCTGTACCTTGATAATTAGTTGTTATTAAGTAATTATAACCGCCTACCCTGATCTTGGTGGGACCGGTGATCTGCTATCCATCCCATAGTCATAGTAACTGTAATCGTATCCCGAATCGTAATTAGACATTGATCTATCGTTATCTCTATAGTCTCTGAAGTGGTTAGTGTTTTAGAAAGAAGCCTACTCGTAGTTTCCGCTGCTATAGCTGCCGTATGTATCATAATAATCGTTCGCACGTGGAGGACCTGATGGTGTTATTGGCTCCCGGTACCGGTCAAATTCACCGTACACATCGTAACTTTGTCTGATTGGGGGAGGTTTTGGAGGATAATCTCGAGACGATGGTATAGGCTCAGGGACTGGAGGCCCACGATATCCCACATTAGGTGGTAGCGGCAGTGGGTCACGGGCTGGACCACGTGGGAGTGGTCTGTGTTGTTCTCCACGGTCAATCGGCGGATACCTTCCATTGGCACCGTTTGGGGGATAATCGTAACCTAAATGATTATAGATTCATAGTGCATATATTACCTCTAGAGCTGTTACGTGGTGGTGGTCCGTAGGGCCCTCCATACCCATCATCCCAAGCCGGACCATAACGTCCCATTCGCGGGGGAGGTGGGCCGGAATTCATGTAACGTGGTGGCGCACGTGGTCCCCTTTCCGGTGGATAATCCCGATAACGCCCTTCATTTCTACGTCTAGTAGGCCCGGGACCACCACCTCGTTTCCCGTGGCTGCGTTCAACATTAATTTTCACCCCATCAAGAATGGCATTTTGAAGTCCTTCTATTGCAGCTTCAGCCTCAGACTCTTTTTCCATATGCTTAGAAAATTGATTGGAAAACTATCACAACCTACCACGAAGCCATAATTATTAACAACATCACATTCCGTAACCTTCCCAAAGGCTTCGAATTTTTTGCGGAGATCAGAAGCTTTGGATTCTGGATTTAGGTTCCCAACGAATATCTTCACCATGACAGCGAAAAATGAAACCAAGGTCTAATGGTTGGCGAAACAACGACGGTTTTAACAATAACTGAAAAAGTAAAACAATAATCCAAAACATGCATCTTGTTTATTTAATAGTAAGGAACGCCGTTTGTAGTCTTTATCTCATCTTTTTTCTAAGCATTTTTTAAGTGGCAGTTTATACTCAACCGTCACATACAACTGACATCTACGAGTGATTTAACAGGTGTCTCGAGTGTAAATTTAAGCTCTGAACTGGTTTACCAGACATTTCGGCACATATATGAGTACACATTTTTCTCAGACGTGCTCTACCCTACTATGATGAGAAAAGCGGTTTCAAATATTGTAACAGCTCTCAGGATACTTTTCTCTCATCTCCAAAGCCAGGATGCTGCTAAAGATAATCGGCAAATGGTATGTACCTCACTAGTTTTCGATGGACTCTGAATTATTAAATCTGAAGGCTACAAAGCAAATTCGTGTCTCATGATACCCTGAAAGATTTCTGAATCTCGAGCATATGACAACTCACACGACTATATGTCATCCAAATATTTTCCGCTTCATTATCAATATGATGACCACAGAGTGCAAATATAACACATACTAAAAGTATACGTGACATAACTATGTTTTGAAGACTTCATAGGGATCATTATGCATGCTTTATGGGGAACCTCATCTTGAAATTTTACTATTAAAAAGACCCTAATAATCCATAAGTGTAGAGGAGTAGTAGTAGCTCTATTCAGTGGAAATACTTTTCCATTTACAGTTATCGATAACGTGCCCTATGAACCTCGAACGTGGAAATTAGTTAGTTGCAACTTGAAATGAAAACGACAAGAGATGCTGACTGGTTTGGTCCACCGCAGTTCAAACTGAGGTGAGTGAGGTCTTGCTAGTCGGTTTTGATACTTGGTCATCAAGTGGTCGATGTTTAATCTTATGAGACTTTATCTTATTCACGTCAGACTGGAAAACCCGAGGATCGGGTTGCCAGAAAAACATCCCGAACACAAAACAGCTGACACTGTTATCACATGTCCTCTAGTGTAAATTGTGAAACAATTAGATACTACCGCGACTCCGAATAGTTCTTACCAGATCTTATATTGACCTGCTGTGATGTTGATGACACAAACCTTCAAAATATGCTACCCCTAGGCATTCAGTTCTAATCTTTGGTTTCCATATAGTTGTCACAAACTCTTGTCTTGCAAAAACTCTCCAAGTATGTGGAAACGCTTTAAAGAACTTACAGGTGACAGACAGTTTAGTAACGATAACCAGCTGGATGTTTGTGACTTAAATAAGTCTTTTGTACGCCAGTCATCTGATGTGATGCTCCCTCTATCCACGGGTTTAAATAATAGCTGTGTTCCTACTTTCACTAAGACTGATGTACGAAGATGTCACCAGTCACTGAATTCATCCCAATGTTTACGATCTGATGGTATCCCAAACATCCTTTTTAAAAAGTGTGCTGACGTCCTGTGTTATCCGTTCATAACTATCTTTAACAGATCCTTCTCATCTAATCTCATACCGAAAATGTGGAGAAAGATGAAGATAATTCCTCTACTCAAGAAAGCATCTGGTGATAAGAATGTAAAATTTAGACCTATTGCAATAACTTCACCCTTCCACAAAACAATGGAAAAATCATTAATACTTCCACTTCAGCCTGGATAAAAGAGCATATTGATCCATATCAGTTTGCTTACAGACGCAAAAGAAGCACTTTAGATGCAGTTGCTGTTCTGCATCACAACATAGTGTTCAACTTAGAAAATGGTAAGAAGTATGTTCGATGTGCTTTTCTGGACTATACTTCAGCTTTTGATTCTATACCAAGACAACGTTTACTTAACAAGTTAATCAGCGTCAACACTGACAGCTGGATAACCAACTGGCTATGTTCCTACTTCTCTGGAAGGGAACAGTACACTGTGTTTGGAGGAAAGTGTTCAGAGTCTCTGCTGTCTCACGAAGGTGTACCACAAGGAGCTGTTCTTTCACCTCTTCTTTTCTCTTTTTTTCTGCACGATCTGCCATCTTACACAGAAAACACTTTTGTGAAATATGCGGATAATCTCACTGTATGTATGCCTATCTCTTCCTCTTTACATCCAATAGAAATGAGTGAGTTTTTGTCTCGTACCGATTGTTTATCTGTTGGTAATGGTCTTATACTTAATCCGTCTAAATGTCAAGCTGTTAACTTTAGCATGATACGTGAACGGCATCTAAACACCATTTTGAAATCTCATAATGCTTATACCATCGGAGACTCTTTGATAAACACAGTGTCGAAGGTCAATTATGTTGGTGTCACCTTTTCCTCTGATCTCTTTTGGTCTTCCCACGTTTTATTGTTATCAAAGAAGGTTTTCCGTCTGACCTACTACATAAAGAGACTGCATGCTCTTAGGATTACTCGTCATTTACTCTAACAATTTGTCGATTTTTGCATATTACCTATTATTCTTTACTGTTCTCCATTATACTTTTCCGGAGCTTTTGAGGAAAGACTTTGCTGTATTGCGGAGAGTGCTGAAGGCAGTTGGCAAGATGTGTGGTGAATCTTTCAAAGTCATAATTAATATGGTTGTGGATAGACATCTAAAACCATGCAAACTCCTGGCAAGTGTTATTTTATCAGATACTAGCCATCGCCCTCACTCTTATCTTTCTCCTTGTATATCTTCTGGTAGAACGAGACGTAATTACATTAAAATCCATGCACGCAAGCAAAAGTATAAAAGTTCTATAATACCTTACCTAGCAAATATACTCTGTGACGAACAGGTTGTTAGAGTTAACCTAGTAAATAACTTGCATTATTAACATGTCCTTAATTTTAAAAGTTGTACAGTTTTTCGGGTTTTTTTCTTTTTAAAAAAACCTTTTTCAGTTTTCTTGTATTCGTTACTGAGTTTTTTTGTTGTTGCGTAAGTAAATTGTTGAAATAACCTGTGCTGGGAATTCTATATTGTACCAAAACTATAATATTGAATAAAGCCATTAAATAATAATAATAACCTAAAGTCTAGAGGGCAAATATACAAGGTACCATACACTCAGCATCCGCAGCAGATTAGTCAATGGAGCCAGCGTCCCCAGTTGTAACGTTCTGAAATATATTTAGAAATTCGTACACAAACGTCACTGCACCCCACGTCTTTTAGACTACACTGAGGGGTCCGAGAAACTCCCCACTGTGAATTAATAATTAAGTTCACACCCCTCTCTGTAAGAGAATTCGGTCACCGGATACTGACGGAATGAAATTTCAATATCGAGAAGTTCGAAATATTTATGCCTCGACCCTCTGCAAGTCTAGAAGGTCGTATGAAGAAACATTTATTAAGGAATCTATAGAACACCACAAACACTCATATTCGTACATAAACCAAAGGACTAGGAGAAGAGGAAATATTCTGGAGTTAGAGGGTAGCTTAGTACTGCATCATTAGTGGAGGACGATTATAGTGAAGATGCCACAGGCATTTGGAGTTTAACAACGCTTTAACCAGTAACACCTTCTAATATGAAGCGTACCCACCCAGTGAAATCAAAAGACAGAGGCGAGGAGGTTCGAATTTATATTTGATAGGCTATTAATACATCGAGGATCGTCTGATCTAATCTGGCTAGCGATTACAGGGGATGTTGAGCACGGCGTTCCCGCTCGTGACCTGGTGCGGATGGATGACCGAGCACCTTCAGCTAGGTGAGTCCATCAAAACTAATGTGGTCAGCATCCAATGTCGAAGACTTACAGAGCTATTATTTTGTGGATTTATTTACCGCTACAAATCACTCCCCCTCCAGCGGGGTAGTAATGACCCCAAGATGTGACTAGTCAGAAGTTTAAACCCAACGAGTTTGTAGTTGTTAAACACTCTTCTGATTGCTTGCTAGGTTTGGCAGCCTCTAGTCGTCTTTCCTTACTATAAGGAACCATGAATTACAATATAGTAGAAAGAGAAAAAGTACGATGAAAATTTCGGTTCCTCGTAAACTGCATCATTCTTTTCCAGCAGTCCTGGAAAAGAGAAAAAAGAATATGTAAGTGCATGTCGAAATGAACGCGTGAGCGCGTTAAGACACAAAGTGGGCGAAAAAAGCAAAATAAACTCATGTGCATGCGATAGCGTAAAAGCGACTGTTACGAAATGGCTTTTCTTTTTTTAAAAAAAAATCTAATAAACGTATTAACGAAATAATGAATATATATAAATATAAGCATATAAAAATTGATTTTTTTTGTATCATATGAAATGCCATGGAAAATCGGGATGAAGTAAGATGTTAACTGGTGTCTTACGTGCAATAGTTATTCAAATGTTCTGGAAATCTCATTCTTCTTCCAGAACGCGTTGTTTTAAGTTTATTTTCTGATACTGTCGAAGTATCATCGTGTGGGTTGGCTGTCGGTTGAGGTATTGTAAGTGTAGGAGACCTGTCGGGCGATTGTACTGAAGGAAAATCGACGTGAATAGGAGTTCCTTCTGAATGCACTGCTTTGATTCAATCGATGCTGATGCTATCGTTGGTTCCATCCTTATCGATTATATAGTACTTAAATTCGTGCTGAGAAACTTTGAAAGGTCCATCGTATGCTGATTCGAATGGTCGTCGATGCGAGTCTCGACGAACGAAAACGTGTGTACTATATCGTAAGTCAGGTTGAACGAAAACATCAGTTGATTGAGGTCGAGTGGAAGCAGGTTTAACTGAACGCATTGCGTTTGTAAGCCTATTCGTGTAGGAGGTTAGATCCATCCTCATTGAAGAGGATGAAGGATCCACGAATTCTCCTGGAAGTGTCGTCCCATAAACGAGTTGAGACGCAGTGTATCTAATGTCAGCTTTCACTGCATTGCGAATACCTAGTAAGACGAGTGGAAGAGTGTCAGGCCACTATGAAACGTTTGCAGCTGATAGTGAAGCTTTCAGTTGTCGGTGAAAGCGTTCTACCAACCCGTTTGCTTGTGAGTGATAGGCAGTCGTTCGTAAGCGAGTGATTCCTAAAAGTGTGCTCA